GTGCCCCCCGCCACCCCCCCCCCTAAACATACACCCCTGCCGCACCCCAGATCACAGACTGAGGATCTCACCTGCTGTTAGTGACCGATGACTGATAATATCCACCAATCACAGAGAAGGAGGAATTCAGCTACAGGGAGAAGAAGAGAGCGATGAGACCAACCTCAACCTCTGCTGCAACTCTGCCTGAACTCTGCCGCAACTCTGCCTGAGCACTGCCAGTATGTAAACATGCGGGAAGGTCAGATAAAGGGGAATCCTAACACCATGAATACCCGAAGGGCCCCACTAAGGACACCTTAGACACCTGGAGGACCCATAATGAGTAAGTCGGAACTTGACATGAACGCCCCTCTACATGGATCGGGTTTGGGGGCGACATTCTATTAAAGAGGAAACTCAATGCAGTCATGTGATCATTAACAAATCATGAAATGTATCTTTAATTGCAGCAAATATGCACTCTCTGCACTCTTTGCGTTCTCTGCGCTCTTTGCGTTCTCTGCGCTCTATGATTTTCTCTGCGCTCTCTGCGTTATCTGCGCTCTCTGCGTTATCTGCGTTATCTGCGCTCTCTGCGGTCTCTGCGTTCTCTGCGCTCTCTGCGTTCTCTGCACTCTCTGCGTTCTCTGCACTCTCTGCACTCTCTGCACACTCTGCGTTCTCTGCGCTCTCGGCGTTCTCTGCGTTCTCTGCGCTCTCTGCACTCTCTGCGTTCTCTGCGCTCTATGATTCTCTCTGCGCTCTCTGATTCACTCTGCGCTCTCTGCGATTTAAAGAGGAAACTCAATGCAGTCATGTGATCATTAACAAATCATGAAATGTATCTTTAATTGCAGCAAATATGCACTCTCTGCACTCTTTGCGTTCTCTGCGCTCTTTGCGTTCTCTGCGCTCTATGATTTTCTCTGCGCTCTCTGCGTTATCTGCGCTCTCTGCGTTATCTGCGTTATCTGCGCTCTCTGCGGTCTCTGCGTTCTCTGCGCTCTCTGCGTTCTCTGCACTCTCTGCGTTCTCTGCGCTCTATGATTCTCTCTGCACTCTCTGCGCTCTATGATTCTCTCTGCGCTCTCTGCGTTCTCTGCGCTCTCTGCACTCTTTGCGTTCTCTGCGCTCTATGATTCTCTCTGCACTCTCTGCGCTTTCTGCACTCTCTGCGTTCTCTGCACTCTCTGCGTTCTCTGCGCTCTCTGCGTTGTCTGCACTCTCTGCGCTCTCTGCGTTCTCTGCGCACTATGATTCTCTCTGCACTCTCTGCGCTCTCTGCGTTCTCTGCGCTCTCTGCGTTCTCTGCACTCTCTGCGTTCTCTGCGTTCTCTGCGCTCTCTGCGCTCTCTGCGCTCTCTGCACTCTCTGCACTCTCTGCACTCTCTGCATTATCTGCGCTCTCTGCGCTCTCTGCGTTCTCTGCGCTCTCTGCGTTCTTTGCGTTCTCTGCACTCTCTGCACTCTCTGCGCTCTCTGTGCTCTCTCTCTGCGCTCTCTGCACTCTCTGCGTTCTTTGCGTTCTCTGCATGCAACTCTGCCTGAGCACTGCCAGTATGTAAACATGCGGGAAGGTCAGATAAAGGGGAATCCTAACACCATGAATACCCGAAGGGCCCCACTAAGGACACCTTAGACACCTGGAGGACCCATAATGAGTAAGTCGGAACTTGACATGAACGCCCCTCTACATGGATCGGGTTTGGGGGCGACATTCTATTAAAGAGGAAACTCAATGCAGTCATGTGATCATTAACAAATCATGAAATGTATCTTTAATTGCAGCAAATATGCACTCTCTGCACTCTTTGCGTTCTCTGCGCTCTTTGCGTTCTCTGCGCTCTATGATTTTCTCTGCGCTCTCTGCGTTATCTGCGCTCTCTGCGTTATCTGCGTTATCTGCGCTCTCTGCGGTCTCTGCGTTCTCTGCGCTCTCTGCGTTCTCTGCACTCTCTGCGTTCTCTGCACTCTCTGCACTCTCTGCACTCTCTGCGTTCTCTGCGCTCTCTGCGTTCTCTGCGTTCTCTGCGCTCTCTGCACTCTCTGCGTTCTCTGCGCTCTATGATTCTCTCTGCACTCTCTGCGCTCTATGATTCTCTCTGCGCTCTCTGCGTTCTCTGCGCTCTCTGCACTCTTTGCGTTCTCTGCGCTCTATGATTCTCTCTGCACTCTCTGCGCTCTATGATTCTCTCTGCGCTCTCTGCGTTCTCTGCGCTCTCTGCACTCTTTGCGTTCTCTGCGCTCTATGATTCTCTCTGCACTCTCTGCGCTTTCTGCACTCTCTGCGTTCTCTGCACTCTCTGCGTTCTCTGCGCTCTCTGCGTTGTCTGCACTCTCTGCGCTCTCTGCGTTCTCTGCGCACTATGATTCTCTCTGCACTCTCTGCGCTCTCTGCGTTCTCTGCGCTCTCTGCGTTCTCTGCACTCTCTGCGTTCTCTGCGTTCTCTGCGCTCTCTGCGCTCTCTGCGCTCTCTGCACTCTCTGCACTCTCTGCACTCTCTGCATTATCTGCGCTCTCTGCGCTCTCTGCGTTCTCTGCGCTCTCTGCGTTCTTTGCGTTCTCTGCACTCTCTGCACTCTCTGCGCTCTCTGTGCTCTCTCTCTGCGCTCTCTGCACTCTCTGCGTTCTTTGCGTTCTCTGCACTCTCTGCGTTCTCTGCACTCTCTGCGTTCTCTGCACTCTCTGCGCGTTCTGCGCTCGCTCTACTCACTATCTGTACGATCTCCTCCTCGATCTGCTGCAATTTGGTGTATTTCCCGTTGGAGCCGTTCAGGAAACTTCTCGGGATTTCAATGTGGCCGAGAAACGTTCTCACTGAAAGGAGAAAACACAACTCAGAAGATGGTTCGGTCTGTCGGGGCAAATAAGAGAAGACTGAGGCGAGGGGGAGGAGCCGCCGACCACAAACCGGAACCTTCTACCCAACGAGTCCTCAGGTGGCCACAGAGAAGTGAGACTCCGTCCTCCACCTGGAATCATATGAAGTCACTTCTCTCGTTATCTCACCCTGCACACAGCTGGCGCCTTTCTCCATCATGTACCCCAGCGGACAGCGACACGTGAAGGAGCCCCGCAGGTTCACACACGTGGCCTGGGCTGGACACGGCCTGGAGAGACATTCGTCCACGTCTGGTCACCGGAGAGATGAGAACAGAAGAGATATTACAATGCAGATAATATGAGAATAACAGACGCACAACACGCAGAATGAAGCTCCACCCATATCATACCCCGGGGATCAGACACAGGGGCAACTACACTATATGGACAAACGTTGGTGGACCCCTGACCATCATCTGGCCATCACCTGACCATCATCTGGCCATCACTTACAATGCAGATAATATGAGAATAACAGACGCACAACACGCAGAATGAAGCTCCACCCATATCATACCCCGGGGATCAGACACAGGGGCAACTACACTATATGGACAAACGTTGGTGGACCCCTGACCATCACCTGACCATCATCTGACCATCACCTTACCATCACCAGACCATCATCTAACCATCAGCAGACCATCAGCAGACCATCATCTGACCATCACCTGACCATCACATGACCATCATCTGACCATCACATGACCATCACCTGACCATCACATGACCATCATCTGACCATCACATGACTATCACCAGACCATCACCTGACCATCACCAGACCATCACCTAACCATCACCTGACCATCATCTGACCATCACATGACCATCATCTGACCATCATCTGACCATCACATGACCATCATCTGACCATCACATGACCATCATCTAACCATCACCAGACCATCATCTAACCATCACCAGACCATCAGCAGACCATCCCCTGACTATCACCAGACCATCAGCAGACCATCACCAGGCCATCATCTGACCATCACCTGACCATCATTAGACCAGCACCTGACCATCATCTGAACATCACCTGACCATCATCTGAACATCACCAGACCATCGCCTGACCATCATCTAACCATCACACCTATATGAGCTTCTTGGACATCCCCTTCCAAAAACATGTCCATTAATATGGAGTTGCCCCCCCCATAATTATTCACATAGAGTTGCCCCCCTTTGTGGCTACACCATCCTCCACTCCTCAGGGAAGACTTTCCACAAGATTTTGAGGGATACAACGTATCAGGAGAGACTGCAGGAGCTTCATGTGTACAGTCTGGGGGAAAGAAGGGAAAGTATGGACACCTTTAAATCCATGAATAAGGTTCAGGACGGCGTGATTTTTCAGTATGAAGCTGAGATGAAGAACTCGGAGGACGTGACCTCTAACCAGCAGGAGGAAGGATCAGAACTGACCTTAGAAAGTATTTTACAGAAAGAGTAGTTGATGTTGGGAGCAGACTTCCGGCAGAGGTGGGGGGACAGTCTGCAGGAAAACATTCCCAGAGGTGTGAGGATCGGACTTTAAGGTTCACACCTCATTACGGCCACTAGATGGAGCCGAAGAACAAGGCAACATAGGAAATTCCATATGCTCCCTGGCTCCCCCTAGTGGACATTTGCCTCATGTATCTGAACAGCTCTGTGAAGGTTTTATAAATCGGGAATCTGAACATAATTGGGACAATTACAGATCCACGCTGAGACACAAAGGCTACAAAACCCCAAAATAGACCACTTTGGCCTTTTTCTGCCGTCACCTACAAATATAAGAATAAACGGTTGGCTGCGGCCTGCGGGGAACGTACCTGTGTCACAGTGCTGCCCCTGCCAGGCCGCGGGACACTCACACTTGTAGCCGTTCCGGTGACCCCCTCGCTGAGTGCAGCTCCCGCCATTGTGACACGGATTCGGGGAGCAGACACTGACTGTGGAAATGAGAAAAGAGTTGAGGATGAACTGACAGGAAGTGCTGCTGAGTGTACAACACAAAGAGAATCATTCGATGCCGTACCTGGTGCCGGCAGGGTGGGGCTGGGTGGTGTTGGGTGCCGTGGAGTTGGAGGACTCGTCGACGTGGTGGTGGAAGGTTTCGCAGTGACTACACCGGGTTGTGCCGTGGTGCGTGCGGGCAACTTCTTCTCCTTATTACTGATGGTAGTCTCCACTTTTGGCATGACGGTCTTTATATCCGCGCTGGTTGTTCTGATGGTGGTCACCTGCTTGCTGGGGCCACCAGTAGTCAGTGATGGACCTCCTGGACTTGTAGTCTCTGGAACACCTTGGGGGGACTGTTGCGTGGTAAAACGTGGCAATGGGATCGGTAGATTTCTAGAAGTGGTCAGCGGAATCAGATGGGTTGGCTGAGCGGGAGGTTGGGTCACGTGCGTCGTTGTTACAATGCTCTGAGTTTCTCCGTCCTCCAGAGAGGTTTCTGGTGTTTGGGTTTCCACGACGGGTCTCCAGGTCGTTACATTCAATGCAGCGGTTGTCCCATCAAGGAACCTCCAGTCAGTCTCTGTGGTGGAGGACTCTTTGAGGACAGTTGTGGGACTGTTATAGGCCCCGGAGGTTTGGTCAGCCCTGGTTGGTGGTGAAGAAGTCCTGGAGAAGGTGCTTGTTGCTATGTTCTCATCGGACGTTGTGGGCAAGGATGGTGGTACGGAAGGTGAAGATGACATTGGAAGAAGGTTAGGAGTGGTCGGAAGGCCGGTCTGTGGGACAGAAGACTTTGTGGAGGTGAAATTTGGTGAGGCCTCAGATGGGAAGGTGGAGAATGTGGAAGGAACTGGAGATGAAGAAGAAACATCATATGAAGACTGATTGGGAACCGTTCCTGGTACTTCGGAAGGAGAAGATGGCGACTCGCTCGAGGAACCTGGGAAGGTGGACAATGAAGAGTTGGTGGAAGGGGGAGTTGACACAAAAGTTGATTCGCTTGGCGGAGCCTCGGTCCCTCGGCCATCGATTGTGGTGTTGGGAGCCGTAACAGGAACACTAGTGAATGGGGCTGAAGATTCGGAGAAGTGGTGAGAGGTGGGGGATGGGTAGGTAGTCATCAGGTAGGAGGGGGTCTGCAGGGGGTAGGTGACGGAGGCTGACGGCTCAGAATCAGTTTTATCGATCCCAGAAGTCTCCGTGGAATTTCCAGAGTCCTGAGTGGTGGAGGCGGTGCCTTGTGTCGTGTTCCCAGAATCCTCTGCTGTGGTCGTTCCGGCAGAATGATGACTTGTGTTCCCAGAATCCTTTGCTGTGGTCGTTCCGGCAGAATGATGACTTGTGTTCCCAGAATCCTTTGCTGTGGTCGTTCCGGCAGAATGATGACTTGTGTTCCCAGAATCCTTTGCTGTGGTTGTTCCGCCGGAATGATGAGTTGTGTTCCCAGAATCCTTTGCTGTGGTCGTTCCGGCAGAATGATGACTTGTGTTCCCAGAATCCTTTGCTGTGGTCGTTCCGGCAGAATGATGACTTGTGTTCCCAGAATCCTTTGCTGTGGTCGTTCCGGCAGAATGATGAGTTGTGTTCCCAGAATCCTTTGCTGTGGTCGTTCCGGCGGAATGATGACTTGTGTTCCCAGAATCCTTTGCTGTGGTCGTTCCGGCGGAATGATGAGTCGTCCTCCCAGAATCCTTTGTTGTGGTCGTTCCGATAGAATGATGAGTCGTGTTCCCAGAATCCTCAGTGGAGGGTCCCGCAGCCACGGCGCTGATGTCTGCCGCGCTGGAATCCGGATCGGTGGCGGACGTGGTGGGAGTGTCGGTGTTATTGGTCACCGATAAGAGGGTGTGGCCTCCTCCATCATGGGAGGTGGTGGAAATGTGGGTGGTGTCCGTGTGCGGAGTCCGTTTGCTGATATGCCGCCGAGTCACCAACTTCTGAGTGATGCCGGAAGCTGAAACGAGACAAAAGATTTGAGACATTTGACATTCC